AGTGAGATTTTCCTGTTTTCAGCCTTTTAGAGCTGGGATTACAGGCGTGCGCCACCAAGCAGTCTCCATCGCCATCTCAGCACGCCTTGGGGATAGGACCAGCACAGCACACCAGGGATCGAACCCTGGCTGCTACGCTCTGCCTAAGCAGGCGCTTTAGTCACCTGAGCTATCTGGCCAACGCTTATCACAGTTTTAAAGTATGACTACTTGTCTTGGTTTTGTGTAGTTGCTGAAACAAAATAATCAGTGCCCCAAATTAGGAAAGGTTTATTTAGCTCACAATTTGTAGAGCTTTTTCCGTAATCAGCTGGCTCCAAGGCCAGGTGGCGAGGCACAGGGGCAACACTTCAAGGTGGCAGAAAACAGCTCACAACAAGAGCATAAGGAGGGTGGAGAACAAGCCTCTTCTCCCTTCTGTTGTATGCAGGCTGCCTGCTCGCACCATCTCCCTGCCCCTCTTGCACAGGCTCAGGATGTTTACAAAGTAAGGATCGCTGCCGAGTCAGTTCAACTTAGAGCCTTTTAAAATGTATACAGTAAACAGCATTCTAGAACATAGAGCATTTCTTTTACACACCAAGATGTAAAACTGCTGAGGTAAGCTTCTGGACTTCTCAAGTTGACTCAGTGTCTCAACCATGGCATGAACATAATACCAAAAAAGAACCCATTACACCAAACATGTTAAATTGTCAAGTTATACAAAACTGTCTTACAAAAGACACTGCCGTTGATGCCCTCCAACACATTCCCCTTGCTAGGAACACATCTCATCATTCTTGCCATTTTCCAAAGCAGCCCTTGAAGGCGTCTTTTGCGAGTGTCATGGGTGCTGCTAAAGGAAGCTGAGAAACGCAGTGGTGCTATGGGCCACAGTGGCGAGCACGTGCGTGTTCACTGCATTCCTTGAGTATCACGTGACAAGGCGCCGGGCTTGCTTTGCGTGGCTGTCCGTGAGCAAAAGTAGGAAATGTGGGCATTTGGAATGATTCTTGATTTTAGAGGGTGTCTTAGTTACTCTTCTCTCATTGCTGGGACAAATACCTAACACTCAAAATGAAGGAAGGAAAGGTTTAGTTAGCTCACAGTTACTGGAGGTTTCAGTCCATATTCAGCAGGGTCCAAGGCAGAGCAGCACTTAGCGGAAAGCAACTTTTCATGGTGGCAGCAAAGCGCAAGAGCACAAAACAAGGAGTAGCAGCAGCTCAAGCGGCTAGCTGGTCTTTCATCCTTAGGCTGAAATGCAAATTACTTGCCCCACAGCAGGTGCAGCGTCCACACCCACAGTAATCACAAACTCCAGAAGCTACCCCAAGACTGCATGAGGCTTTGGGGGGACACCTAGACACAAACCATGACAGAGGGTCCTGAAAAACCAGGAGCTTAAATAAAGTAAAAAACCAGGACCTAGGACAGGTTTCAGGTCACGTGACAGCACATGAAGGGCGTGAGGGACAGATGATTTATAGCCACTACAGGATTTAAGAGGTCTGATTCAAAAAAGGGTAGACCACAGATTAAGACATCACCGACTTAAGAAAAAGTTAATCTTATCTTGAGACTGCAGGGAGTTGGGGTTAGAAGTACTGGATTTGAAGCCAGAACCCTGTGGTGACCCGTCTTGGGCAGGTGTACTGTTCAGCCTTTTTTTCCTGTTTTCCCTGAGGCCCTCTGGCACTCGGGGCTGAAGAGTGAGGTGGAAGGTACTAGAGTGGGTGCTGTGAAGTGTTGTAAGGCGTGGCTTCGCGGTGGTGCTGAGATGTGCCGATACAGAGTATACGTAACTGGCGCATCGGGTGACAGATTGCAGAATGCAGTTGTCATCATTTCCTGGGGCAGCTGGTAGTTTAAAACAACAGAAATTAATTTGCTCACAGTTCTGGAGGCCAGCAGTTGTCTGAAATGAATGTATTCGCAGGGTCCCTTCCTTCTTCGGCTCGTGGAGACTCGTTGAGGCTCGCAGATCTGGGGCTGGGCTTGCTGGCACTGCATCCTTAGAGGCTTGGCTTGCAGACGGTCACTGGAACCTGCTCCATCACAGCATGCTGCTCCCCCTGCTGTGTCTGTTTTCACAACCTTTTCATGAGGGTGTGCCCTAGTCTAGTACGGCCTCGTCTTAACCTGTTGTATCTACAAGGACTTAGTGTGTTTTTATTGCTGGTCATAACTCCATCATGGACTTGGGTACGTTTCGAGGAAGACTTTCCCTCGCATGCAAGGTTGAGAGGCCACATCTGGTGATGGCCTCGCTACTGACAGAGACCTGTGGGAGCACATGGGGTCCCCCGGGCACAAGAGAGACCTATCAGAAGTGGCGTTTGTAGCAGAGCCACTTTCAAGATGACCTGCTAATCCATTACGTGAGTGTTAGTCCACTTACTAGGGCACAGCCTAATTGCCCTATGGAGTACAGCAGGTTTTGCCTCTTACTAGCTTTTAATGAAAAGTAAATCTGTTGAACAACTGTTCCAGAGGGGACAGGCTATAGGCGGTGATATTTTGCATACAGTCACAGTCTGAGGAGCTGGGTGTGAATTTTAAAGGCATACTTTTCAACCCAGTCAAGTAGTTGAGAAGTATTTCTCACATAAATCTAACACTTCTGTGATTTCTTTCTAAGAGCACTGGAATTAAACTGCCTTCATCAGTGTTTGCATCAGAGTTCGAGGAAGATGTTGGATTGTTAAATAAAGCAGCTCCAGTTTCAGGTGGGTTTAATGTAAATGACTGAATCAGTTAAGATGTGTCAGAATTCAGGTTAAAATTCATCAGGAAGGGGTGAGAGTAATTCTTTTGTATTACACCTTCACGTTCTTAGGTCTTTAGAGATTCTGTGTGGAGAAAAACATGAGAAAGCTATTTCTAGTAGGGAAATTTTAACTTTTTATGGAGATAACGGTGACATCCACCATTAGTGTAATTTTGACAAACTTGTCTTTTCAAATTTCTCCCAAGAGTATAAATACATATTTTATAGAAGTCCATT